CAGCTTGGCACCATCAGGGATTGAGAAAACTCTTATAACTGTACCCTAAAAATAATATCCAGCCATTCATAAAGGATAGTTACGCTAGTAACTTTTGGAGTTAAACATGAAAAATAAATTCTTGCAAACAAATGACAAGATTTGACAATAACAATAGTCCCTGGCTAATAATATGTAAGTTAATATAAATTTTGGACAAATAATACTAAAAAATACAGGAGAAAAATTACCTTTTCAGAAGCCGTAGCAAGCTTGGTTCCAGTGTTGTTGAATGCCATAGACGCCACAGTTGAGTCATGAGCTGGTATCATTGTAACAGCWCGCTGGAGAAAATTATATTACWTTATCATAATTTAATCACTAACAGCTAATTGCCCAACAGATGGTTACTATTTTCCTCTCTCCTTCCCATCACCCCTTTCAAGCTTAACTAAAAAATGGAGTGAGACTGGTTATGATTGTGGCCCTGTAAGAATGATATTATTATGAGACTGAACTTACTAAATTCACAGCATCAAATATCTGTACTTCACCAATCTAGAAATGGCATAATAATTGTTAATAATAGTGTTTTAGTAACTGATTAAATGGGGAAAAATAAAGCAGACAGAAAAGACAGGGCTCTACTTGAGAAAGCTGATAAAGGATCTGACTTGATAGTTTCCTCACAACCATGTTTTAAGTTTCAGTTGGGAGTGTTTCATACAAATACAGCTGTGTGGAGATAATATGCTCCAACTCAAAAGATATAGATTCTTTGATAACTTTAGACATGACATAAATGGTGAAAAATGAAGTGAGATTCAGTACCTGATTACTCCCTGGGTAGGCTAGATAGCAGTTATCAGAATTGACAGACAGAGCACTTAGACCTGAAAAATATCATCATTACCAAGAACTTACAATAATTATTGAAAATTTAGGGGGTTGATTATTGTATGAGATACAAACCTGTTGTATTAGGAGGCGTGTCCCTTATGGTGTGAAGAACCTAGTAAATGCATATTTAATGTAAAATTATTAATTTACAATCACAAGGCGAAGACGAAAAAATATCTTTAAATCTAGATATTTATAAGTGAATCCAATAATACAAATTAATAATGTTACACTGGCATCAAATTAAACTTTCCAGGTCCCACGGGTGGACCAAGGATTTTCTTCAGGGAGTGGTGCAAGGCACCCAGGAGTGGGTACTCTTCAAAAGAAAAATCACAAACTAAGGTGACACAAAACAAGGGGAAGTATTTAAAAGTCACAAGGTCTCAGGACATGGTGCAAACCCCCTGAACAAACCAGTTAGAACTGGACCTGCTTTATGCATAACAAACCTTCATGTCTCTGATGTTGTGTATGTACAAACTCTCTTCCAAAACAACTAGTAATCTCTGCAACGGGGAATGACATTTTAGAATTTAAGATACGTCATGAATTTATTGTAGAAGTCAGTGGTAAGGACATYAACAATATGAATACTGTCTTTTCTGCAGTTTTTTCTTGTCAACTAGACCTAARCTGGGGTTGGTGAAAAGGAGTRCTAGGGRGTGGTCTGGTACTTGATCRAGATTCAGATGKGGATGTTCTGCTGCTGGTACATCTAAACCCTAACCCTATTCAAGACAGCAAAATTGWGAGATTCCATACCCTATTCAATACAAATTGCTAAAATGTAGACCCTATCCCAGACTCAAGGGTTGACATAAACCAGCTTTAGTGTTCCCATAAAAGATGCTATAAGAAAYATTGTGCCACTTACCACTCTGTTAAGTTTAACAGCTAAGATGGTGTTAGGGTAACTATAGTTGCATATTTCTGTTCCTTTCTGTTAAAAATAAGAAGAAGACCAGGGTTTTCAATAACTTATAAATTTACATTTTAAACACACTTATTATAGCTGGTCAGAGCATATGTCYCTGRAGGATCATGGGTTCAATTCCAATCTGGAKCTCCTKTAGATTCTCCAACTTTTTTATTTAATTTTGCATTGTTGTCAATTAATTTTGTGGATGATTACCTTAAAATGACAGACTTTCAGCTTTCTTGGAGCTGACAGGCTAACAATGGCCACAAGACTGCTAGAGAAAAGTCTCTCGACAATGCAGATATCTTCTGTATCACCTTAAGAATATTATGAAGAGAAAGAATCCACAGTCATATATCTTCACCTTTCCCTACTTTCATTAAGGCATCATTATTTATAAAAGTATTAAAAAACTCTGAGATTAAGCATGGTCATTGTAAAATCAGAGTTTCAGTTATATATCAAATGTTTATATTAAAAAGATAATAGAAAACAAGGAGCAACCTCAAAATAAAATCATTTCACAAACATTGATATATAAAGTGAAAGTTATTTTAACATCGAAAAGCTGAATGGCATTAGTTATGTAGGTCAACCACACAAGTTAATGTACTTTGAAACGTGTGTCTAAAATGTCTTCAAACCTAGATCACTGAAATTATCTTCTATTGTACAAAACACACTTTGTGTAAAGTACAGAAACAAAATAATACAATTAAGAATCTCAGAGACACTTTATGATTGCAATCATAATACAGAAAACTAATAAAACAGCAAAAGCAGAGATAATTTCCTAAAATTGGTAAGGCTGCCCCTATAATTTCCCCAAGTCATGACGACATTTCTTAATATAATTATCGCCTAAACTTTGCATTTTCAAAGCATTTTCTCGTCTTACCATACTCGTAAATCTCTTCTAGTTTCTCTACTGAACCTAAAGAGTATAACTTATATCCAGTCTTTTCACCTACGGCCAGAGATCTAGCAAAACAAAAAAAAAAATGACAACATCAAACCACTTTGTTTTGATCAGCAATCCACGAAAAATCGTTTCAGAACAGGACACTTACGAGCAGTCCTGGTTAAAATTAACAAATAGAAGGTTCCCAGTTGGATCCCCGCCATATGCAGCGAGATTCATGGAGATTTGTGGGGTATAATAAACGTTGAATCAACCCAAAATCTTTTTTTCTTGTCGTTCAACTCTCACTCGTCCTTTTCCCAAAATAACAAAAACAAAGCAGTAGACCCGCGCATGCGCTCAGGGAGTTCTGCTGATACAGCATCATTTTCGTGACGTCATTTTTAAACAATTCATCAGTCCTTTTTCAAAAAAGACCCTAAAATGATATGCTGGGAAAAGAGTTTTTGGCAAAATGATCAACAAGGGATCATATTAAGAACAAAATGCTAACATTAGTTGTTGTCGATTTATGAAAATTATATAAATCGAAAAAAGAGAGGGACTAAGGAGGAGTGACGTAGTTTTATATTAAATAGTTCCGCTGTGCAAGATGTTTTCGGCTCAGTGCACGTGCACAAACAAAATGGCGGACATCAATGAGCCTTTTATGTTGTGCAGGACATTTCAGAAGGATTCATTACTTGGAATAGAGAAGCATCTCATCAAAAACCATGTGATATTGACTTTTAAGGATAGGGGTGTTTTGATTTATAATGTAAGTTCATATGAGGCGTAATCACTGAAATTTGTTGTTGGTAAAACGAGTCTTTTGATAAATGTTGTCTATAAAACCTTATTACCCTGTTATATAGCTGGAAAATAAAAAGGTTATCAACAGTTTACCAGTTCAACAAAGAAGTGAATTCTCATGCTCGGTTGTCCAAGACCCTCATAGTACAAGATATATTGGTGTGTTAGATGACTTGGTAAGCTGAAAAAAAAACATAATGACTGGACCTTTTTGTTACCTAATTAATCTTTATCAAATATTGAGGAAGAGTTCAAGTTTACTTTACAGAGAGATATCATTATCAGGGTTCTATTAAATGTAGCTTTTGCTAAATTAGATATACATCAGTTTTTATGTGTAACAAATCAAACTATTCTATTCAGAATGTCTGTCAGTGGTCTGAAAATAATGGAAACTTGGTTGAAAGTCATCGAATTAAGGTAAGTCCATACTTAACTATGAGCAAAACAGTTTTAACTGCCAAGTTTCCATACCACCTCCACAAAATTGTGCACCATGCTTGCTTTGTTTTTCTCACTTAATGCTCAGTTTCTAGTCTTTTCCCTTCTTTGTGAGTCCAAAAAGAGACCAACTTGTGGCAAGTCTAACCCCCTCCCTGCCAAAACTTGGCTTACTGTAGTTAACAAAAGTTTTTAATAGTGAGTTTGAAATATCCATTCAAACTACTTTCATGTTGTAAAATTATATTTTTACTTCAGGTTGAGCAGCCAGTGGCTCAAATTCTAACTATGTCAACTGATACCAGTGGACCAGTAGTTGTATTCAGAGATGGCTCTTGTAATTTATTGTCAAAGTGTTCAACGTCAAGAAAAGCTAAGAGGAAATCAGCAATATCATCATTAAGGTAGAAGATGATAATTTTGTTTCTCATTGCTTTTACCAGTAGAGTTGTTGCTGAGCTTATAGCAGTCTGTCCTGTGCTTGGATAAATACTTATAATCATGCCTATAAGGAAACATGCATTTTCTTAATGTTTTTTTAATCCTACTTTAGAATTATATCAAGTTGTGTTCTACGTCAAGGTAGCACAACATTGGTTGCTCTTGCCAAATACAAGGTACATTTTTATCTTAATCATGTATTTGCAGTACGTACAATGTTTCATAACTGTTCTTGGGAATCATTTTAGGATGCAAAGCTAAGTGTAAGTCTGTCCAAGATTGAACATGATGTGCATTTCATTGGAGAAGGGACTGTTGAAAAACCATCTAAGGTTTGTACTGTTACATATCACAAGATACTAGAATAAGATTAGAATATTGATAAAAATGTGTCTTTAATTTGCAGGATGTTGATGTGATAAATTGCTGTTTTGACAAATCAGGCACAAAGCTCATTTCTTATTGTGAGTAGATTTGTAGCAAGAAAATGTTAATATGATAATTATATTGAATTATTTATGATAATTTGAAAATTATCAAATTAATATTATAATTGAAGTTAGAGTGAATAGTTGACATCCTGTTGGATTAATTAATGGAGAATAATGTTGGATACTTGGAGAAATTGCTGGAAATAACTCCACATGCTAAAATTTCAAGTGGATCAGTGTCCATCATATAACAAGAGTCAACTTTTTACAGTAAATCACTATTGAGCACTATATTTCCTCCATCTTGTTGTTTCAATTAGGGTCAAACGGCTCCCTTTGCATCACTGAACTAAGAAGCATTTTAGACAGCTGCTTGCTTAGTTCATTGCAACAAGATGATATTACTTTAAAATGTACATGCATCAACAGACTACATGAAGATTCAAAATTATCCAAGGTGGGTTGTTGGCTGTGTCACTAAAGGGATAATAATGTTGATGATTTTAATATTATAATAATGCTTAAAATGGTGTTGTTAATGGGGATTTTATTATGGATGTGCACAATTTACCAATAATTATTAAATAAAATGTCTTATTTTCAGAAAACAGTATCCATAGCACCAGTAGACTCAACACAYATTTGTATGTGTCATGAAGAACTARCACAAAATGACGTCCAAGGTAGTTGTTTGACTTTATCGTGYACAATGCAACAATAATGTATATTTTGTAAGTTTAAACTGGAAATTTGAGACATTAATTTGACAATAAAGCAAAATGAACTCAAAACACACATATCTGTGAGCTTGAAGCTTTTAGTAAGTAATAAAACAAAACTGAGAAACCAACAAAAACTAAAAGCACAAGGCTTAATATAATAAAAGTAACTCAATAAGGTGAATGCCTTATGCATCACTCGGTGCGAAACAGCACAATGAACTCAATACACCTTTGATTTCAGCCCATGGTTCGATTGATTAAGTTTCATTTTCTACCTTTCTATTGTTTTTATTAAGAAACAATCTCTATATTCGACACAAAGTTTGGCACAAGACAAATCAGTGTTTCGCTGGATACAATCACTAGTGATGAGCCTGTGTCAAGCCTGACTAGCCATTCCTCTGGCTCTACACACATCATGTGTACAGATGGTTATATCTGTACAAATTCCAAATATGGCATAGCAGCATGTTCCTATGCTGTCTCACCGTCGTCACTGGCAACAGCTCTTGGGAAACTAGCACCCATGAGGTATATATAACATGTATATAATGAATATGTAAATAATAAATATAATATATAATATGTACATGTATATAATTTGTATAAAAATTGTACTTCAAAGCATTTTTTTGGACAATCTCAGTAACTTACATTGTAATGTTGTCAAGAATTGAATTGAATTTGTGAAAACACTGATTTCCTATTTGTGAGATTATCTAACTAGCCCATTGTAAGCATGAGCATACTGCAAAGGTCGTGAGGCAAATACAGTTGCTGTTGCTTTTCTATTGGCCTGGATCATATATTCTAGTAAATATCCCTCATGCCAACTTCTTGTGAAAGGTGCTTTAGGTGTAAAATAATGTATTGATAAAGGAGACTTCTTTTATCACTAGTTCATCTGAGATGACATCATTGAAGCCATTACTATGTATTCCACATCTACCAGACCCAACAAAGGCAAGTATATTGTATCCCAAACCATACAAAATACAACTAATCCAAGACTGAGCAGAAACATCATTGTATATTTGGGGCTATTGAAGTGACACTTCCCAGGAGATGTTGTTGTAGTTTTATCTTGGATAAAACAGTTTACAATAGTTGGTTACTCTTGAAAGTAGAAAGTGATAAACTTCTATCTCGACTACTTGACTACTATGCTCAGTATGTATGTTGGTTTTTCATGTTTAGGATCTTCAAGACTGGGCTGATTCTACAAAAACAAATCAAACCACTGAAGATGAAATTCTAGTAAGATTAACAAGCCCACAAAAGGTAACAGAAATCTCAAAGAACCATATTATTGGATCTATATCCAATAGTGAGCCTGGTAACGACAATGAAATTATGTGAACAATTGTACTATTAGTTAATGAACATGTATTTTCTTTCTTTCTAGACAAAGACAGTGAAATCATTTACACAGCAGCTGAATGATTATCTAGAATCTAAATGCCTGAAGAAAGGACAAGGTAAATTTGGTGTACCAAAAGGATCAGTAGATTCAGACATTTTCTGGATTTTTGATATTCTTAATTTGATATTGATCACATAAAATGCAGTTTGAGAAACTTGCAATTTAAAAGATTTTTCTTATTTTATTTGTAACTTTTAACACTTCCCAAGTTAAACAGTCATTTCAATCAAATGAAACATGCTTTTTTTAATTAAAAGATAAGGACAATGAAGACAAAGTTAAGAAAACTTCCTTCAAAGCAAAGGTACATAATTATTATTCAGTCAAAAGCAGGAGACTTTATTGTGGATAATGATTATTTAAGCTAGCAGTTTTTCAATTAGGATATTTCTTCTTTTGTGCGCCACAGGAGAAATTCAAAAGCAAGTTTCTCCTTTCTCAGCATTTTGTGCTGGCAGTGTTATCTCGTTGCTTGGAAGAGACGAAGTTCTTTCCCAAAGAAGCGCTCACAAATCTCATCAAAACAAGATGTATACCTGGAAGGTAACTGACTTTAGAACTCAAGTATCATTCATAATGATTGTCTGGTGGAATGACTGATTAATTAATAGATACATAGATTTTGTGATTGATTAATGGGTGGAAGAATGGATAGTTGGATTGTGTGCTTGTTTGTTTAATTAGCTTATTGAATGCCTAATGAATAATAATTCTCTTTTGAATGTTTTTCAGTTCAAGTCCAGAACTCCTTAAATATTTAACAGAGAAAAATGAAGTGGTAAGGATGATAATATGATTCATGGACTTTGTTGATAGAGTGAGTGATTTTAATGAAACAAAATGTAATAGCTAAAATTTGATAAGTTGGATCACCTCATTCTGGATCCCATAGCAAAATCAGTCAAATTCCAGATTCCAGATTCCTTTTCATAGGCAATATTATTATCACTCTATTGTACTTATATATTATTTTGTTATTCTATCATTAGAACATGATTTTAATTTGTATAAAGAACATTCAAGGCATACCAGAGTCAGCTCTTGTATCCTGCATTCAACATGCAATACAGTAAGTACACAAACATCCTAGAGCGGATTTTGTATGACTGTGCAAAAGCACAGATCACAACACGGACACGGCACGGTCACAGAACCTCGCCTTCTAGGATTTCAAATGAAAGTAAAGATTTTCCAATGCATCACGGCTACAGCACAGTACGGACACAGCACGAACGTACCGTGTTTCATTGCACAGTCATACGAAATCCGCTCTATTATGTACTGCAGTAAGTTCCAAATATTTGGATATAAATAGCAAAAACATTTCACTTTTTTCCAGAGCTGAAGATTCAGTATTTGGTGATAAAAAAGAAGAAGAGGAAATCAGAAAGGAAAAAGAAAAAGATGTTAATGATCTAGTTTTCCCTTGTCCTTTTGGAAAGAACAGAGTGAACTTATTGTATCCTTACTAAAAATCAAGAATAGAATAGTTATGATATTAAAATACAGAAATATAAATTTCCTCTTAACTTTACTAAGATGTCATCTTTTAAGTTACCCAGTAAATGATATATTCATTCAACAAAGCATCAGGAGGTTCACTTCAGCCAGTATTATTGTAAGTGTCACATCTAATGTAAAATACATTTAGAAGAATTGTGAACTTGAAATGATTATGTCCATTTTTTCAACTAGGAATTGATGAAGTTTTTAGCACACATCATAGAAACTGCTCCAAGAACATCATTTTCCAGACAGGATAGTCCATTGAGTTATGCAACGGTAATTATATTGTAGTGGTAAAAGACATATCTATCACTGAATAGTGCAAAGTGTTCAAACTCTGATCTTACATACTATAACAACATGTTGCAGTAGTTCTAGGAACAGCTATCCATAGATTTTCCATGAATTTTAACCAGGATTTATTCAGTGGATAATTCAATCCACTCGACTCTTCGTGCATCTGACCCCTGCAAAAATATTTCTTCAAGATTCACGACAATTAATTGTTTGTGGGGTAATATTTTCAGGCTTTAGATTGGACAGGATGGATCATTAATGCTCACTACACTAGCCTTGTACTCATGCCCGATGTCCATGACCTTCTTAAATATATGAGCAAGTCCGTGAGTGGTCAGGTACGAATTTACTATCGTTATAAACAAATAGAGTAGAGTGCACGCCAAAAAAGCATGAAACAATTCTTAACTATCAACATCTAGAAGATTTAGTTATCAACTAAGAATTCACTGGGGCATGAACACAATGCCAGAAAGGAAACTTGTCTTTGTTTATGCCTCACTAAATTCTTAGTTAGTTGATAACTAAATCTTATTAGGCACTAATTACTTAAGAATTGTTTCATGCTTATGTGGCGTGCACTCTAGTTGAATCAAGGGAATTATGCTGTGATAGTTGCCCATGGAAAATTTGATATTTAAAAAAAAAGTCTTCCAAGGATGCTGTGGCCAATGAGAGCCAAGGGAAACTTATGAATTATGGAAATTTAATTTGTCTTTAGAGTGAAGACAAGAGAAAAACATTTTCACATTGAATTTATAATGTTTTTATATTTTTTGTCAGGTTTCCCTGTTAGAAAAACTAAGCCGCTTGGAAGGATATTTGCACCATTACAAGAACAAGCAAACACTTCCAAATAGTGAAAGAACAACACTTTATACAGTAGAAATGATAGAATTGTGATTATGAAATAAAGCAAAATGGATTTGTGAATGCATTGTGTAGTACTTAGCACCATTACAATAGCCTTGAAAATTTGCATTTTCTCTACAAATTGAATCTCAAAAGCCCTTGGGAAAACGCAAATTAGGGCTATGGGAAATGCTGCAGCAGCATGCTGAATTCTTTCGATTTCAGTAAGTTCTTTGAGCAAGAAAAGTTGTTATCAAATAAAACTGCAGTTATTCGCTTTGAATTCAAAAATGGTCCAAGTATCCAAATAGTGCTAATACTTTTACTCTGGACAGTCCATTATTATGGACTCTTTACTACTGGAAAATACTCCCTTTTGGCTTTACATTGGATACTTGACATTTTGGATACCTAACAAATGACCCTGAAACATTTTTTGTCACATCAAGAATCCACTAAGTACCACTTTATTAGTTATGTATTTCCCAAATAAAGTTTGCAATGAAGTCTTGGTATTACAACAAAAACAACACAGGTTTTAGCAATTCGATATTTTTATTGTGCAGTTTATTGTTACACTTTATTCGGCACCAGCAGTCAATTCCCTTTCCCTGTCTTTCTTGAGCAAGCCCATGAAAGCTCTCTTCTCTGCAGGATGCTGGAAGCGGCCATGACCAAACTTGGATGAGGTGTCGATGAACTTCAATGTCACCTTCTCTARAGCTGATCTCTTTGTGTGGACAAGGAGAGACTGAAAACAGAATAAATCATTTAAATTTTATTTTTGATATCAAGGTTTTCTTACGAATCAGGTTACAGCCAATTTAAATGTTGGAAAAGCTTTGGGACAAATATTTTTTGATCATGAAAACGTTTCCACAAGAACAGGTGCAACAATAATGAACTGCAAAATAACCATGAAGGAATTCTCACCTTACGGAGAGTAAGAACCCTCTTCTTTGGTCCAACAACACATCCTTT